TGTACATTCATTGCCCTCATCATTCTCAAAACATTTGCTCTCCACTTAAGCCCCTGGCATCAGGTCCTCATTTTTCCCCTCCCTCCCTGCTCCCCGCTCCCTTATGAGCCCTTGATAATTTATCATGACCACAATTCTACCTCACAAATCTGGCTAGACCAGAGCATGTACACTGGTACAGATAAGAGCTGGAAGCACAGGGAATCCAGGACAGATAATCCCCTCAGGACCAATACTGAGAATAGAGGTACCAAGAGGATAAGGGGAAGGTGGGGGGAGGAGGGGGGAACCAATCACAATGATCTTCATATAACCCCCTCCCAGGGGATGGGCAACAGAAAAGTGGGTAAAGGGAGACAGTGGTCAGTGTAAGACATGAAAAAATAATAATATAAATTATCAAGGGTTCATGAGGGAGGAAGGAGGGGGAGGGAGAAGAGCTGATACCAAGGGCTCAAGTAGAAAGAAAATGTTTTGAAAATGATGATGGCAACCAACGTACAAATGTGCTGGACACAATGGATGGACGTATGAATTGTGATAGAGCTGTAAGAGCCCCCAATAAAATGATTTTTTTAAAGTTCATGTTAAAAAAGAAAACCCCCAGGCCTAAGTGGAGAGCTGATCTGCTCCGTAAAATTTCACACCCAAAAAAGAAGGAAATGTAGATACCTAGGTTGAGGAGGCTATGTTGAGAAACAATAGCTTCACATTTTGATATGTTTATTTAGTAAAAATATCAATAATTTTATTTACACACGTGTGTAAGCCCTATAAAAATGAAAGCAAAGCAGGAATGGGTGCCTTGTACAGATCATAGAGGACTCTACATTTGGTAAATTCAGTGGGGATCCCTAATGACACTGTGGATTAAATAAACACTGGGCTGCTAACTGCAAGGTCAGTGGTTCAAACCTACCAGCTGCTCCTTGTGAGATAGAGGAAGCTGTCTGTTCTTGTAAAGATTTACAGCCTCGGAAACCCTGTCTGGGGTTGCTCTAAATCAGAATCAACTTAAGGACAATAGAGTTTGGGGTAGACTTGGTCATTTGGAATCAGAAATCAGCAGTTCAAAACCACCCATCACCTCTGGGCAGAAAGATGAGGCTCTCCACTGCCATAAAGTGTCAAAGTCTAGAACACTCACAGGGGCAGTTCCATCCTGTCCCATGGGATCACTGTGAGTCCGCATGGACCCAGTGGCAGCGAGTTCATAAGGTCACTTCCCTTTCATACACATCTGGACATCCAGTGCCGTTGGGATTCAGTGCCACTGTGTGAGAACGGTTATGGGTCAATGACCTTGTGTCGATTATTATAGTCATGTTTCTCTGTGGAGGTGGTCTGCCATGTACTCCGCCTTCCT